ATCTCACTAAATGCTATATAAAATTAACAATGTAGAATTTTATGAATCAATCCAGCTGATATCCTGTTATCTACTGTACATGAGTTGGTATGTGTGTGTGCATGTATGCATCTCCCTAAAAGCCTGAAAATGTAGACTAGATTCTTTTGTTGTAGCCTTGTATTGGCTTGCGGTGAATCAGCTGACACAGATGCAATGTTGGACTAAGTTAAGAGAGGATGGTATCTCTAAGCGTATTTGAATTGCGATCTCATTCATAAATATTCACGAAGGCTTTCACGGCCAGGATGTAATGGTTGTTGTGGGTTTTTCGGGCTTCTTGGCCATGTTCTGAAGGTGGTTTTTCCTAACCTTTCGCCAGTCTCTGTGGCCGGCATCTTCAGAGGACAGCAACTGTGCTCTGGAGATGCCGGCCACAGAGACTGGTGAAACGTTAGGAAGAACAACCTTCAGAACACGGCCAAAGAGCCCGAAAAACCCAGAACAACCATTAGATCCCAGCCGTGAAAGCCTTCACAATTCTTTCCTCTTCTATGTGATTTTGTACAATACTGTATATATTTCAAGTTAAAAGCCTCTGAGTCATGGCAACTGGACTTATTTCTTATTAAGTTGAAACATTTTGCTACTCATCCAAGTAGCTTCTTCACTCTGAGGAGAGTTGGTCGGAGATCCCTGATCCAACGTGGAGGATATATCAAGAATCTCCTACCAACTCTCCATAGATTGAAGAAGCTACTTCGATGAGTAGTGAAACGTTTCAACCTAATAAGAAGTCCAGTTGCCATGACTCAACTTCCAGATACATACAGTATATTCAGTCAATTACAAAACAAAAGGTACAATAGATGGCAGCAAAACAGTGAGAGTTATTTCCAAAATTCACAGAGTGTAGGTGATCAAAAACCAAATTAGTCCAGGGTAAGGCTCTGAAAGACCTGTGTGAACATTTTGAATGGTTTTCTGAAGCCAATGAGAAAAGGGGCCAGTTGCACCTCTATCTGCAGTGGTAGCAGCAGTGGCAGGAACAGTCGGTGTGTCTTTGATACCTGGAGAGACCCCCATCACTACTACTGCCACCAATGTGCTCTCCAGCTACTGCTGTCTAGCCACCCACAGGACAAGCAATCCTTGTAGAGGAGGAAGAATAACAGAGTCCTTGCATGCTTCATATGTGGCAAAAACACAGCTCCTCAACTGACTTCCCAAGCAAGAATGCCACTGGGCAGCCAGAGCTGGCCGGCTTCCTGGCTGCCTTGGCACTGGCCAGCTAGTGTTGTTCTAGCTGGGGGAAAGGGCTGCCAGCGGCTCCACTTTTGCTGCATTAAAGTAGAACATGTTATAGGAGCAGTTTTGTTTTGTTTTGTGGATAGCCTGCAGTAAAAAAAAACTTACTGTGGGTTATCAACGTGTATTTTCAGTCATTGCTGCCCAGTATTTGAGCACCTGTAGCTGCATGAAATTGTGATCAATACTATTCCTTGCTGAAGCATTTCATAAACATTGTATTTTTATATTTTTAAAAGTAAATCTTAAGGATATTTCTATATATATGTAGTGTATTTTTATGTAAAAAATCTTTTACTTTTCTACAGACCTTTAAACTGGATGCACAAACTGATGCTTATTGTCTTGTTATATCTTACTAATGTTTATTATATTTGATCAATGTACATTTGTGTTATTTGTAAGTTACCTTAGACAAATTTGTATCCTGGAAAAGGGATAGCGGTTTTAATCGATCAATAATAAATTAATATATTTCTGCAGGCATGAATAGGCTCTTTTGTTTATTGACATGGTGTTTTCACAGCTGTGAATTGGAGCTCCAAACATATGGAAGCCGTTTCTCTCTGGTAGCCATGCCATAGCAGCAATGTGTGAATTGGCATGAACTGCCCCTTAGATGTTTATTTTGGCAGGAAATATACACATTCCAGTGAAGTAATTCAATACCTTTCAGCAGTGTCTACAATTCCATTTCCTAAGAACTTTGTGAATCACTTTTACACCAACACTATAAATCATCTCGGAGAGCTGGATAGTTTCTTAATCATAAGCCTACCCATTCTCTTTATCAAAATATAGTGTATTTATAATAATATATGGCCTTGTTTTCTTTATAAAGCCTGTTAATTCAAAAGTAACCCTAGCCTATATTGCTTTATGTCCTTGCTGAACAGTTTCTTGAAGATTAAAAGCTTTACCATTATATTGCTAATAAAAGAAATTATAGTCCTAATAGGGTCTAAATTTGCCTAACGTCTGCAGTAGTGGGTGACCCATAAAAGTGGTCAACAGTCAGAAACTGATAGATCCAGAAAGATTCCTGAATGCCTTGGAGGAAATTTCCAGCTGCTCAAGTTGACAACCCTGCAGATTTCCAAGTTGATGTGTGGGATGAACTTTCAGAATCCTCCAATAATTCCCCAGGTAGAATTCTGGTAATCCCTGTCCACAAAGAGGCGAGACCAACCTTTTTTTTTCGTAAGTATTGAGTGCATACTTGCTGATAAAAGCTGCCAGGAGACAGCTGGCCAGTTGGGTAGTGGAGATTGTGAATGCCCCTTTGAAAGAGAATTGTGTCAGAAGAATCTGGAGAAGAGGGTCAGAGGATCCAAGGGATATGTAAGGGAGAAGGAAGACCCCAAGGTGAGGAAGAAGGCAGTAGAAAGGAGGACCGATGGCAACAGGCAGTGCAATAGGAGGACAGGGCAGAAGAGGAAAACCTGGATGGGGGCATCAGTCCAAACTATCTAAGGAAGTGCTGGAAGCGTAGAGCTTCAGTTACCGGTAACTAATGCCACAACTTAGAGGTGACAATTGCCACCAGCTGAACTGGCCCCAAAGTCTCCTACTCTAATACAACTACAGAAGTTCACATCTGGCAATTGGAAATTATAGTGTGGGCCATCCGGTAAATGACATCTTCCTCCCAGAAGAGAGACCAAAGATAAAGCCAGTTTTAAGCCTCCAGAAACTTGCATGGGGAGAGCGAAGTAAGCACTCTTCATCTTTGGCCTTGGCAGATACCAAGAATTTGACTGATGGGGGCAGGTTAAAGGAGATCTTGAATGATTAAAGCAGTTTGGGATTTGGAAATATTTCATTAGTATGGTTAAATAAAGCTGAGTTATAAAAAATATTCAATTTTTGCCTATATGGCTTGACACATGGGTGCCTTTGACACCCTTCTCCCTATGAAAACTTGAGGGCATGTACACTATCTCATCTCTGTATATAGCTTAAGTACATACATAGAAAACTTTCTATGTGCCCCAGAATAGTAGCTATCTGAGATTAATGTTCTTTTAAGTAGTTTACTACCATTAACAGGAATGGGAATTTTTAATAATCTGAACATTAAAGGCAAGGTATTTTGTATCACTGTAAAATGTTAAAGGTGTATTACCTTGTTCTGCTAGTAAATGTGGTGGCATATTTGTCAGCAAATTAATTTGTATGATAAAACATCACTTAATATTTGAAGTAATGCACTAGAAATGGGCAGGGCAGCTTTTAAATGAAACATCTGCTGGTAATCATAAACCATCATTAAGAACCACAAAGTAGGTAAAACACCCACTGTGTGAGAAATGTATCTCAGCTGATGAAAGCTAGATATACAGCCAGATTTACTCCCACTTATGACAAAATTTTGTTCTACTGATGTTGGGCACAACTGAATACAATTTCAATACAGTAGGCATGGGGAGCTCTAGCAGGGCTGGGGTAAAGTTTTCACCCTCAGCATCTATGGTGAGCCACATGATGCCCAGAAATATCTGAAAATGGCCAAAATACTGTTGAGTAGCTCTGCCAGCACTGCAGAAGTGACATCACTGGCAACAGCAGAATTCTGCTACTTGCAGAGTTCCTTCTTCAATTCTGGGTTGTATGTTACCGTGCGACTAATTAAAGAGTTCCTCTTTGATTTCATGTTGCATGTGATTTGCACATGAGACAGAAATTTCATCCAATTCAAATCTGAAGTAGGAACTCTTTAATTAGTGGAAATCTGATGCTGCCAGTGACATCATTCCTGCTATTCTGATGGACCTAGGCAACAGGATTCTGGCTGTTATTTTCAAAAATCAAGAACAGGAAGTCCTCAGATGTCCATTTTTGGGAGTTTTTTATTTTGGTTTTTTTCAAAGTGGCTGGGGTTCCCCTGACCTATTTAACATAAAAGAATCCAATTTGCTGGCCTGAGGACTACAAAAAGATATTGGGGAAGCACATGTAACTTATGGACCATTCTTCACCTACTCCTAAGAAATTCTGCAAATCCAAGACCTAGCAAAGTTGCTCACTGCACAAAAGTCCACAGATGACACCTTAAATAAACATAAACATCATCATCATCATAAACTGCTATGTTTAATCTGATGTTCATACACATTTTCATTCATAAATTAACAAGATGCCAAATGGAACTAATTCATACAATGGGAATGGTTGATTGTTGATTGATATTACAGATTTGACCTCTTCCACATATGACATTTCAACAAAATTATTTATTATAAAGGAGTATCAGACAACTATCAAAGCACTGCCGAAACACCAATTACAGCATCTTTTCCCTACAGCCAAATATGCCACGCTGCTGCCTCCTTCCAATCCCAAGGCCGAAGGGAATATTCTCCAATAGATTGAAGGCAAGATACCTAGTGAGATTTTATACAGACACTTTCATTAAATTGATTGAATAAGCCCTTGTGATTATCATGCAATACTTGAGAAAACTAAGGGTTCTATTTAACATAAGTAATTAATATTGACGCATTTGTGTCCACCTCATATCAATTATCAATTATTGTCAACTAGGCACACTTCCACAATCAACACAAAACAGGAAAACCTTTGAATAGTGATATACTGTATAGGTGAAAACAAAAATAAAAAGAACAAAATAAAACCAAAGATGTGGTAGCACCTAGATAAAAAAAAATCTGATGTCCTCTAGATTATTTTTAATGTATTTTTAGGTATATGCTGGAAAATCATTAATGCATTTAATACATCACTGAAGCAATAATGAAAATATAACCTGCCAGGGGGCCGGGTTTCCCAATTTTCTGTGTAGGTTGAACCCATTTAAAGGCTGTGTGCCTTAGGACCAGCCTCATTACTTAGCAGTCATGAATTTGAAAATGTTGCCGAATATGATGAACATGGGCAGCTCCCTTTAGTTTCTGAGAACTAAAGGTAGTTTTAATAAGTATTGCCCATATGCCAAATACGTTTAAGCAAGACAATCTAGACAAGTAATCTGGTGACTGGTTTACATTTGTGGACTTTCTATATCATGGGTTTTCACTAGATCTTGACTATCCCTTCGTAACTGGAATTCCTTTGAGATGCCCAAATTAAATTGATTAAGTGTGAAAGCATTCTCTTCTCTTAAAGAAGCAAAATCTCTTATGGTTAGTCTTGAACTAGTCTCAGGGACTACTGGAACCAGTGAACCAAGTCACATGGGCTCTAATTGATAGAGATGCTTTCTCACAAGAACATTATTTGGTTTACTACCTTAAAAAACCAAAACCCACCACAGTATTTCATCTGGATCTTGTAGCAACGCAACTGTGGAACAGAAAGGAACCTCATAAATCCTTTGAGCCTTCAGGTTCCTTTTGAAAGATCATACCAGAGTTATAAAGTTCTGGTAAAATAGAAAATGCTTATGAATACATGCATGCCACCTGGAATTCAAAACTCATGTCATGAGTATAGTTCCTACAATTTACACATGTCATTATACAGTCTGTATGAAATACAGGACAACATGTTGTGAAAAAAATGGCACAAAATTTATGCCAGGGACTGAATAACTTTGTTGAAAGGAAAATAGATCTTTCCTGCATCATTTCTGGACACAGTTAAATTGTTTAATACTGTAAGCCGAAATTTATACAGCTGGTGAACAGAGAGGCCTAAATTTGTTAGTGCCAACAAGAGTAGGCTCACTAAATAGTGGGAATTTCATAAATCAACGTATATGTAAATCCCATTGATTCAATTGATCTACTCTGATTGGGACTAATAACTATCTTTATTCCACAGTATTTAAGCAAATCATTTTCTATATTTACTGTTACTTCCCATGTCAGTATAAAAGAGCATCAAATTATTAGTTGATTGTGTTGATGAAGCAAGCTCTAAGGCAGAGGTGGCACATCTTTGGTGCTCCAAAAGTTTTGAACTACAACATCCACTATCATTAGTAATATAGGCTGGGGATTCTAGGAGATCTACGCACCTCCTGAGCCCAATCATTCTCAGATATCCAGGGAGATCAGATGAATTTTACATCAAGCCACTTCTTTCTGATCAAGACTCCCTTATTACATGCTCTGCAGCAAGATTTTGTCCAGCAGCAATGGGACAGCACTCCCTTGTAGTCTCCTGAGCTCACGCGTTGACTGGTTTTGGCATGGGGTGGTTTATGGGGGTGGTTTATTGTCTAGCATGGAGAGGTGTTATGGTCCCAACTGAAGGGACAATGGCCCAGGGGATAGCTGTAGAGGTGCTGTGTTTTATTCTCCCCTTGTTTTACAATCAGTGTACGGTTGATTGCCTGTTGTGTACTTTTTAAATTGCATTTTGTGTGTTTTGACCATGTAGTATGGTTTATGGTTTGGCTATACACTTTTGAACTGCATTTTGTGAATGGAAATGTAATAACACCCATTAGAGATCAGCAGGGATGAAAGGGCCATTTCTCTGGCCCCAGGACCCATATGCCACCAAAAATGAACAGAAGGTCACTTTAAGGTTGAAAAAAATAAACAAGTCTTCTAGTTCTCAGAAAATAAAGATCAACCTAGATTTTGGGTTAAAATCAGCTACATAGGAGGATGTACAGTTCTCTCTTTTTCTTTTATTTTCTGGGGTCTAAAAAAAATCCTGTTCTAAATGTACATTATTATGTATGCCAAGGTCATTTTTGTGGCCCTCAGAACTATGCTATCCATTTTCACATATCATTTTAAGACAGTATTCATTCCTTTTCAAATATATATAACATTGGGATACTTTTCTACTTTGTGCAGACATCAATTTTAAATTAACTGAGGAAAACCACATATGAGAAAGAAACAGTGGAAAAGATCATTACTACAACACTTTTGAAAAAGGGAAGATCTTGCATAATATATAACAGAAACTCCAAACTGTCTTCTGTGTCATTATTGATTTTAACAGACTGAAGTTGTTTACATTTGGTTACGACATGGCACAAAACTGGTAAGTATGTATTTTGAAAACTCTTCTAGTTGTTTAGATATAAAGCCTAAAAAAGCCCTTGGATAATATTTCATCAAAACATTAGCGTCATCTTGGAAAAAAGCATCAATATATCAAACAATCCCATTTTCTTTAGTTGGAATTATAGCAGGATCAAGTCCATGCTGCTTCATTTGTACTGCAATATCGAAGAGGTAATCATAACATTCACACCTGAAATACAAAACAAATCAGGAAAAACAGAATGGGTGGGAATTATTTTACTTTTTTTAGTGGAAGGGAAATCATTTAACTTACTCTTGACTGTAGCAGTACAAAAACATGTGAACATATGCATTGTACAACACAGTGTTGGTAACTTCATTTGCCCCATTTTTTTACAACTTTAAACACTCCACAATAAATACACCATCATATTGAAAACAGGATTGTAAGGAAAACAGTTATAACTAGCATTTAAAGACAATTTCCCCCTCCCCTATTCCACATATGCAAATAAATCTAAAAAAGGGTGAGATGTCACTGGATACTCTGGAAATAGTTGCAGAAAAATTTTGAAAATGGATGGTCAACCAAGAGATTGGTGTGGAGGAGTTTTCCTTATGACCAATCAGAATATATGAGATTCCTCCTTTCTTATAAGATTATAAAAGGAAAAGGTCAGGTGATAAACCACTTATGGTCGTTTCATCTGGAAGTGATATACAGATTTGGGCTGGGTCTGAGTGTAAAGAAGGGACATTTGCAATAGCAATTCTAACCATCTCTTTCCCCAAATTTTACTCACATTGTTTTGGCCTTTTCCCAAGTTTCTCCCCAAACGTAAACTCCATGACGCCTAACCAGCACAGCAGAAGAGTCTGGATACTCATTCATTGCCTTGGCCATTCTCTCCTTCAGATCTTTCTCTTCTGGTGTGTTCTCGACAATAGGAACCACTAAGGTGTCATCATATCTGAAAAGATAATGGGGTGCTGACATGGGAGAAGCATTCCTGTTTATGTTAGAACTATACAGTAAACATTAGTCTCTTCACAGCAAGGAGCATTTGGAAAAACATTTGAAGACAATATCATGCTCTCTATGATTCCAAATGTACAGTTTCGCATCACAGCTTGTGAGAATACTATTCTAAAATACAAAGTAGCAATATTTTGGTGCAGAATATCAAAGCCCATGATCCCCACTGGACTCAGTGGAGCATCTCTCTTGAGCTGACATGCATAGGACTCTACTGCATGTCTCAGTCCAGGATCCAAATATAGGCTACCCTGCAGCCCCTTTACAAAAGTTTGGGGAAGGCATGAGAGATTACAGGAGAGTAAAAAAAAAAAGAAAAGAAAAGAAAAGAAAAGAAAAGAAAGAAAAAGAGGTAAGACATTCTCATTGTGCTAATGATTAGCAGTTAACATGACATTCGATTTAGATGTTAATGATTTCACAAAGGTTTAAATTTTGCTTGGATCATGTCAATTGTTCTTGATTTTATAAATGTTTTCCTTAAGGAACATTTGCAATCAAGTTGATTTTGACTTGTGATAACTTCATCCACGGTTTTCTAGGTACCGAGTGCTCAGCAGTGGTTTACCATTCCTTTCTTATGAGGCACTTTGGGTCTGTGAAGCTTGCCCAAGACCACATGTGTTGTTTCTTCTCTCAGGAGGCACAGTGGGGAATTTAACTTCCACCCTCTAGCTTCACAGCCAGATTGGTTCTGAACAATGAATATGAAAATGGGATTAAGATAAAACGGTGTTTAAGCCAAATTAATTAAAATAGGAACATGACATAAGCAATACATTAAACATGCAGTGATTTTTAAAGGATTATCTTTCTGCACTTCAGGTACTAAAAGAAGATCTGATTGTGAGATAATGTATACCAATAATGTCTACGTCTACATTGGCTCAGGCATGTTGTGAGAATGGCTGACGGTCGGATTCAAAAGATCTCCTGTATGGAGAATTAGTACAGGGGATGTGCCCCAGAGGGAGACCACAACTGCGATACAGGCATATCTGCAAGCGGGATCTGAAGGCCTTAGGAATGCACCTCAACAGACAGGAAAACTTGACATCTGAGTGTTCAACCTGGAGGAGGTGGTGCATCATAGCCTCAACCATTTTGAAGAGACACTTCTCCAGCAGGCCGAGACAAAGAGGCAGTCCAAAACCAGAAAAATGAGGGAGCTGGACAGGGGACAGATTGTATTTGTCTTCTGTGTGGAAGGGATTGTCACTCTTGAATTGGCCTTTTCAGCCACACTAGATGCTGTTCTAAGTCCTCCATACAGAGTACATTATCATAGTCTCTTGAGACTGAAGGATGCCTAATCAATCAATGCATACCACTACTGTATACATTCAAATTTCTGGACCTCTCTTACACTAATGACTATTAATATACAGTGGTGCCTCGACTTATGAATGTCCCGACTGACGACCAATTCGAGTTGCGACCAGCTTCGGCCGCAAAATTTTGCTTCTACTTGCAACTGCAGCTTTGAGTTACGATCAGAAAAAAGGCAGGGGAAAAGGTGGGAAATTCAAACTGCTAACCGTTGGTGGCAAAGAGGCTGCTTCATTGTAGCTCTTTCACCCCAGTGGTTAGAGAGTGTGCATTCAGAGGAGGCTTCGGACTGTCTGGTAAGATGCTGCTTTCTGCTTTTTAAAAACTGCCTGTTCTGGGTTTTGTGTTGGGGGACATTATGTTTCTGTGCTGTGATGGGTCTTACAGCTTTCATTTGCTTTTGGGTTTTTCCCCCGCATTTCCAATGGGTCTTGCATGGTTTGTTTGCTTTTGGGTTTTTTTCCGTTTCTGATGGGTCTTGCAGGGTTTGTTTGCCCTCCCCTTTCCAATGGGTATTGCAGGGTTTGTTTGCTTTTTGCCCCCCCCCATTTCTGATGGGTCTTCAGGGTTTGTTTGTTTCCCCCCCCCACTTCCGATGAGTCTTGCAGGGTTTGCTTGATTTTTGGTTTTCCCCCCTCCATTTCCGATAGGTCTTGCAGGGTTTTTTGCTTTTGGTTTTTTTTTGCCCCATTTCCGATGGGTCTTGCATGGTTTGCTTGCTTTCTGCTTTCCTTTTTCTCCATTTCTGATAGATCTTGCAAGGTTTTCTTGCTTTTCTTCCTCCCCTGCTTTGGCTGGAATGGATTAATCACGTTTCCGATGGGTCTTGCAGTGGTTTTTTTTGTGGGGGTGGTGGTGATTTTTTTCTTCGGACGGAACAGATTAATTGCATTTCAGTCAATTCCTATGGGAAATGGCGACTTACAACCATTTCAAGTTACAACCATCTTCTGGAACAGATTAAGTTCGTAAGTTGAGGCACCGCTGTATATCCTACAACCTAGATAGCTTACATTTGGCACACAGTTTGAAACATCCTGATTACAGAAAAGCTTGAAAGGGAAACCCTTGATACATATTCTTCACCGTAAAATGGAGGACATGCTCTGAGAGTTACAGTGCTGCCTCACTTGACAAGGATAATCCGTTCCAGTGAAATTGCTGTAGAGTGAAATCCTCATCAAGGGAAATAAAAAATGCCATTGAAATGCATTGAAAGCCAGTTCAATGCGTTCCAATGGGCGCAATACCTCAGCGTCCAGTGAAGATCCTCCATAGGGTGGCTATTTTCCGATGCCTGTGCAGCAAAAAATCCATCCTGAACACAGCAGGAAGCCATTTTGAACGGCCGGCAGCCATTTTGAAAACCCGACGATCAGCTGTTTTGATCGTCGTAATGCAAAGAAGCGGTTCCTGAAGCAGGGAACCAATTGTCGTAAAGCAGATTTTGCCCATTAAAACATTGTTTTGCGATTGCAACAGCGATCACAAAAACATTGTCGTGATGCAGATTCGTCGTCAAGTGTGGTAATCGTTAAGCGGGGCACCACTGTAGGACAAAATAGTGGCTAAGAAATTAAGCCATCTGTCAGAAAGTCCCTGGTTCAAATGCTCCCTCTGCCATAAACCTTAATCACTGCTATTAGGCAAGACTCTCTCTGAGCCCCAATCTCTCCATCTATGTAATGGTGAATGGCAAGATCAACTTGTATTATCACCTGAAACACATCAAATTTATACTCCAGTTTATAGGTGTAATTCCCTCCCCAGATCCTTTATTTTGTATCAGTGATTATTACTGATCAGAGACAACAGGCTATTTAAAACACAGGAAAGTTTTATATCGAAATGAGCTTTGATTTGTAACCTAGGTAGTCTTTATATAGAATTAGCAATCTGGTACACACTTTTGGAAGGATTTGTGTGGAATTGGAGCTCTAGTTTGCAGTCTTTGTGTGAAACAGGACTTCAATTTCCAGCCCAGGAAGGTTTTGCATGACCCAACACTGTTGCACTCCAGCACATTGATAAGATTTGTACTTTGCCTCAGCTATTTTGCTTTGGTCCCAGTACTGGAAGGAGGCTCTAAAGCCCTTCTTCCAAGTCAGAATTCAGCCCCAGCCAGAAAGATGCTCTATCCCTACACTATCTGTTATGTATTACTGTACTGTTATTACTGCTACCCACAAATCATAAAGCTATTCCTCAATTAGCTGCAAAGCTTACATATAATGCACAAGTAGTCTGATATACTCCATATCACTAAACAACCATAGGAGAGAGTTTTATGTTCATATGTAGATATGTGCTAAGTAAATGAAAAGGTAGCTGGACTGTAGGAATTTGAATCCAAGATTTCTCCCCTGGTTTATGCACTTCTTCCCAGGATAGCTATAAGAGAATTTAGAACCTTACCCAAAGATTCTGTAAAGATATTAACTACTACCGCATCTACTACCATAAATATATGAACTGCAGGCCAACAATGTTTGTCATATATTTCTCAGAAGCACTCCAGGAAGGAATTCCTGTAGTTGTTGCGTAACCGTGAGAAAAACTGTATATATTCACAGACGTCAACATTCAAATGAAAAACAAACCACATTGATGTTGTTCATAATCTTCTGAGGTAGGCAAATAATCCAGAGAAGGGGATCATTTCGGATACCATGAAATATGAGAGTGCCTCCTAAAATCAATGGAAGTTGAACATGTGATGAAAAACGTGTTGTAAGCCCCAAATAATTTACCAAAGGAAAATTACCTGAAGTATCCTCCTGTGGTACATTTCTTGATTCCTTTTATCATCTCTTGATGAGTAATTTTAAATTCATTTCCTGGATAGAGAAGGGTGGCCATTACAGCAGCTTTGGAGTGAGTATGGATGACAGCCCCTGCTCCTAAAAGAACAATTGGGGAGAAAACTCTGAGTTGGTGCTTTTGAAAGAAGATATGATTCATATATCACCATTCTGTGTTAGCTTCTTTCTTATATATTTCTGAAAGATATACTTATCACCTTCTTTAAATATTCTTATTACAGACAAGATAAACTAAAGAGAAAATAATTTTTCTGAAAGATATACTTATCACCTTCTTTATTCTTATTACGAACAAGATAAACTAAAGAGAGAATAATTTACCTTTTCATTTAGAAAAAGCAGACTACAGTGGACCCTCTACTTACGGAATTAATCTGTACTGGAATGGTGGCTGCAGGTCGAAAAGTCCAGCCGTGAAAGCCTTCGCAAATACAAAATAATTTACCTTTTCATTTTTAAAACATTGTTTACAGTGGACCCTCTACTTACGGAATTAATCTGTACTGGAATGGTGGCTGCAGGTCGAAAAGTCTGTAGGTCGAGTCTCCATTGACCTACAATGCATTGAAAACCGATTAATCCCGTAACCGGCTGTTTTTGTTCCATTTTTGTTTTTTTCTGGTCTGTAGGTCGATTCTCCGGCTGCAAGTCAAACCTAAATTTTGTGGCCAGAGAAGTCTGTAACTCGAAAAGTCTGTAAGTCGAGCCGTCTGTAAGTCGAGTGTCCACTGTATTTTCTTCAGAGGAAATGTATTGATCATTTAAGAGTTTCATTAGCTCAGTACAGCCAATTTGTTATGCATCACTAACCAATAAAGCTATTGTTATATATCCCCACATGCATTCCCTATAATTCTTTATATAAAAAGGGAGAGCTATAAATATTTTAAAAGGACACTGACTTCAGCAACTTTTTTTCTTTAAAAAAAAACCACCCTCATTTGTGTCTAGAGAAGCTTTACATTCATGATAAACCGCCATGTGTTCAATACTGGAACAAAATATTACCAGGACATATCAGGAATAGCAGGACAGTAATGTTTTAGAAAATCATAACCATGACATAACAGTCGGTAGATACTAATTTCTTCCCAAAAGTCCTAATATTAGAATGCTGCCACCAGCAAATTAGAGAAACACTTGGACTATTTGCATTTCCTAGTATTGGTATCCTTTGCAGAAAAGAATAATAAAAAAGGAGCTAATATTCTTAAAAAATAAAGTTCTCCCTGTTTGACTTTCTTCTCAGAAGTTTCCTCCTCAGATTATACAAGCTGCCTTTAGGAAGCAGACTCCTTCACAGAAGGTATCCAAAAAATTCAAAACTAGCATCAAGATTAAAATGTATTTTGTCTCAGAATATGTCCTGCAAAGGTGTCAAGCTACTATTATAAGATTTTTCTAATGCAAATATGTATCTTGCTAATTGGACCTGTGACAAATTAACATTAACATCCTGCAGGCAAATCTTCATCTTATTTTGAATCAAACTGAAATTCTGCCTTCATTTTCCTGCACATATAACTTTCAAAAACACACATACTCCTTTTTGTCTGCAGGAAATGTGTGAGCTTTTCCTCCAAAGTATTCCTTTGCCTCATCTCCCTGCCACCTTTTCCCTGATTGAACAAACACAGAGGTGGAGTGATTTTCAACATTCCACACCACTGACACATTCCCACTCAGCAGCCTGTGGCTCAGCCAGTGGCTTATGAAGTGAATGGGTACTCATACATCCGCAGGCAGAGGCCAGCTTTTAGTTTTCTAAAACTGCACTAACTTCTCAGAAAACAAGTCCACTAAAATTTCAATAAACAGATCTGAAAAATCCTTTTTCTGTCAAAGAATTTTATTTTTCTTCTTTACACTGCTGAATGTTTTTTAAATACATTGGGTACACAAAGCAAAACAGAAAAATGAAAAAAGATATTACTGGTGGGAATTGCATAAGATCGCAATGAACTTGTCCTTCAACCTTAAAGCTTTCCAATTTAAAAAAAAAATCACTTCATCACCAGAATACCCTTTCATATTTATTTAGAACTGATTTTCTGTCAACAGTGCTCATACCTCTCATGGTGTAAGCGTTCATAAAAAGTGGTGTACACTGGCTTTTCTTTAGTTTCTTGTGTGGTGGCGGACCACTGATGTCCCGTTCTTCAATGTCACACACAAACATATCTTCAGGCTATAATGAAAGAACTTCTGATACTCAGCTGGGATAACAACTGTAGCACAGATAGAGCATACGCTGAATTGTATACATATATCTATATATAGTGCCTCTAGTACATATGCCTTGCACACGAGCCTCTTATTCACAAAGGTTTATATTTTAAAATTTATAAAGAAATTATAGATTTGAAAAATACTGGAATTTTAAAGAAATATGCCTGTACCTAAATATAGTCCAAACTAAAAATCCGTCTTTCCATTTTCCATTATGGTGGGAGCCGGCTTTTTAAATACTGTAGTTATTGGTGTGACTCAGCATTACCAAAGGTTGAGAACCACTGTTGCAGAAGTATATGAAAAGTTGGTTGCATATATTGTTGACTTGCTGATGCTTGCATTCAGCGCCTCCCCCTTCTCCATACTGGGACATATTCTGCAGTGGTTAAACTGCTGTACTGCAGCCAAAACTGTGCTCAGGACCTGGGG